AATTTGGGTTGACTGCTCACCTATGGTGACTTTAATCGCATCGACCTCTCGCTGGGTAAACTGCAGACTCGTTTTTATGTCCTGTATCTCTCTGGTCATTTTGTCGAATCTCTTGTTGTTCGTCTCCATAAGTATTTGCACAAATCCTTTGAAGCTTTCGTTGAGCTGAGTGAGCAGGGCAGTGTACATTCGCTTCTGATCTTCCAGCAGGTCTTGCAGCGCTCTGTCATAATTTTCTTCAGCTTCGACATCCTCAGCGACATCGGACTTATTGGGTTTTTTCCCTCTTGGAGGCATTTCAACAGATGTAGACTTTTTCAACGATTTGAAGGTGTAGAAGATATGAAAAGATATGAAAATCCCAGAACAGACAAGAGGAGCAGAAAAAAACGTCCGCTCTCGCTTGCAACCTGGAAGCCATTTGCACAGGATCCAGCCATTTGCTTGTCCTTGAAATATTGTACAATGCAGTATTTGACTGAATAACATTGGATTTTGGACTTATGGTCTGACAAAGTGATTTGTATTTGTTGAATCTTTATAAACTGAACCATTCATTGACTAATTCAAACATAATATGTAGATTTTCAGTGAGTCCACTTGAAAAACTACTTTGGGTCATTACATTGGCGATGGCGATGGCTAGGACAGTTTTGTTCCTGTCTGCTGTCATCTCGGCTCCTCGGGAGCTGTGCTGCTGACAGGCCAGCATGCTCTGAGAACACTGATGCCATGGTTGTGGTGTGGACTGAAGGGGAAAAAAAACAGGTGAAACAGCTCTGAGCGACTTCTACAGCTTCAGTAGTAGAACAAGTTTCAAATTTTGAATAGCATTAAGTTCCAACTGGGCATGAAATTATTTGTGATGTTTCTGATAAACCTTCCAACACAGTCCATAACATTTTATTAACTTTTTTTTTTTTTTTTTTAATACAGTGCTGTTTTTGGTGTGGACCACACTATGTCTTCACATAGGCATATTATTGACAGCTGTCTTACCTAATATTAAGATTCTCAGAAAAAGTATAAGTATAAGTATAGGCCACATGGTAGGGCAGACCTTGGTAATGATGTTAACAAATGAAACAGACAATGCACAGGCACTGCCTGTCCGTTGTCTTGACTGATCTTGAAATAAAATCTCAAGTTTTCTTTGTCTGAGACCGAGACAAGATCGTGTAAAAATGCAGTCAAGTCCGAGATGAGATGAGATGAAGACCTTCAAAAAGTGAACAAACCTTTTACTGTTTAGTTGTTAGCCTGCATGTGAACTAAATTCATGTTGAGTTCACTAGTTGCAAACTGATGTGTTCATTCACCATGAGCGTGTTAAATGAACGGTACTTATTTACCACATTCATGCACAGCATCTTTTCATCCTAAAGTGATCTTCACTACTTAATTTGTACATGTATATGCACAGCTTTAGATCATCTGTACACCTTGATTCATGTCATGAATACAGTGTACAAACATTTGCTACACTGTGCATTTGTCCACGAGGTTTTCTTCATGATAGGTATTTTACTCTCTATCCCCAAACCCACCTCATTAGAATCAGCATGACTTGCTGTGTAGTCTGATTTCAGTTCAGTCAGCACAAAAAAAGAACTCGGGCGTTCCAGCATTGCATGTTGCATTCTCCTGTTTCTCAATAAATTATCCAGACAACTAGAATGATTATTCTATGAATATGCACTAAAATCCCTTTCTTGTTTTCTTTCTCTCCAAGTTTATGGCAGTGTGTTTTCAGCTGTGTATGCCTACAAGCAAAGGTGTAGCTGTGTCTATGCAGCTCTTTTCCTTGAGACAAAGGAGGTATCAGTGCGAATTAGCCCCAATACAACTGAACGCCCAAGAGAGCTTAGAGATTCACCACAGGATCTACTGAGTCGTACTGTATATGAGCTGCTGTTTCTTCCTGTTCCCCTCTGCTTCCCTTCCATCACCTCCCTCTTTCGCCCTGCTCCTCTCCTGAGCTGCCCTAACAAGGTTTTTGGAAGATGATAAGGTGTGTTAAGTGAATAATTTATGCAGAAGAGTGCTCCTTATTTATTTAATATGGCTGGATCTGACTGAGTGGGCACCCTGTGTCCCCAGTTGCCAAGACACTGTTGGCTAAATGAGTGCATGCTCGGCTTGATGGAGGGCCAAAGTGGCAGGCATTTAGAGAGAGCAAGGAGTTTGTCGATTGTATGTGCGTCTGTGCACTTAGTGTATGCATTCCTGTAAAACGCTCCATGCAGAGCTGTGCAAGTCATGTGACTACTGAATGCACTCCGTCATTGTACCATCTTAGTTTTTAAACCCTGATACAGACAGATCACATGAGAGAGCATCACCTGTTTCAAAATACCTCCAGGAATTTTGTATTTTACTGGACCATTGTAGTGGAGAAGGAGCAGAGTCAGAAGGCAAAGCTTTCAGTCAGAGATCCTTTATTGTTGTATGTCAAAGTCAGTGTTTATTTGTCATATGCACAGTTAGGAAGCGTGTTTCCCTGCACAATGAAATTCCTACATTGCTGCCCACATGAATGCCACAAAATACAAATGAAATATAAAGTAAATGAATAAGTAACACAAAATCTAAGACCCTTTAAGCAGCAAATGCAGAGATAGAATAAATATATAAGAATATAATAAGAGAATGTATGCTACATGGGAGTAGCATGTGCAGTAGTCAACAGTCAATGTGCAATTATGCATGTGTAAACTGAGAATGTAAACAGTACAGCTCATCAGTACATGACGTATTTCCCGGTAATAAACTCCTGTCAGCTGTTTAGGAGTCTGATGGCAGAGGAAAAGAGAGTTTTTCAGTCGAGGTCTTGCATTTCACACTTCTGAACCTCTGGCCAGAAGGTAGGCAGGTGAACAGTCCATGCTGGGGGTGGGTGGGATCTTTGAGGATGGAGGCAGCTTTCCTATGCACTCTGTGGTGGTAAATGCTCTGCAGAGAGGGCAGTGGATGCAGCTGTAGAAGTTGCAAAGGATCCTAGGCGACATGCCAAATCTCCTCAGCCTCCTCAGGAAGTACAGCCGCCGTTGGGCCTTCTTGACCGGCTGTGTGGTGTTACAGTATGTGTCCATGTGAGGCCCTCACTGATGTGGATGCCCAGGTATTTGAAGCTGCTCACCCTCTCCACTTTGAGCCCCCAGATGAACAGTGGCTGATGAGTTCTCCTCTCCTTCCTCATGTCCACTATCATCTCCTTCATCTTGTCCGTGTTGAGGCTGAGATTATTGTGCTTGCACCATGACACCAGACTGGCCACCTCTCTCCTGTAGACTGCTTCGTCTCTGCCACTGATGCGACCTATCACTGCGGTCCATTATTTCCAATCATGACAGTCTGGGGCCTGGCTTAGTCGTTCAGGCAGGTGACTGGGCTCTTCTTGGGAAGGGGGACAATGGTTGTGGTCTTAAAGTAGGTGGGAACAATGCTCTGGCTGAGGGAGCGATTGAAGATGGTGGTGAGAACATCAGCCAGCTCACTGGCGCATGCCCTGAGAGCCCTCCCAGGGATGTTGTCTGGTCCTGCTGCTTTGCGGGGGTTGATCTTCCTCAGGACTGTGCGTACCTGGCCTGGCGAGACAGTTAATGGAGGGGAGGTGGGGGGCTGGGTGGTCTCGGTGTGTGTGTGTGTGTCTCTTCTCTGTGCTGTGGCTGGAGGTTTCAAAGCGGGTGTAGAAGGTGTTGAGGTCATCCAGCAGGCTGTCTGTGGAGCTGATGATGCTGGTGGTGGTCCTGTACTCTGTGATGTGCTGCAGGCCTTGCCACATCCGCCTGGAGTCAGCAGTAGTATAGAAGCCATTCAGCTTCTCTCTGTACTGCCTCTTGGCCGCTGTGATGGTTTTCCTCAGTCTGTACTTCACAGCTTTGTACTCCGTCTCATCGCCTGATCTGAATGCATGAGAGCAAGCACGCAGCATGTGGCGTACCTGACTGTTTATCCAGGGCTTCTGGTTGGGGAACCTCCTGACTTGTATGGTGGGCACAATGTTGTCAATACAGGTACTTATGTACCCGGTCACATACTTAGCATAGTCATGTATGCTGACAGAAAAGCCCTCCAAGGTGTCCGCAGCTTTAAACATATCCCAGTCTGTCTGGCCGAAACAGTCCTGCAGGGTGCCTTAAGTCTCTGGGGCCCAGAGTTTAATTTGTTTGGTGACAGGGTTTGTTTTTTTCAGTCTTTGTCTGTAAACTTGATAAGGAACAAAGAAATGTGGTCCCAGCGTCCAAGGTGGGGGCGGGGTGCAGCCCTGTATGCACCCCGTATGTTACTGTAAACATGATCCAGAGTGTTCTTGCCCCAGGTGAGAATCTCCACATATTGGTAATATTTGGGAAGTACAGTCTGTAAATTGCACTGGTTAAAGTTGCCTGCAGCGATAAATACAGCATTGGGGTGTGCTGTCTCTAGCGTGCTGATGATATTGTAGTTTGCTGAGAGCCACAGAGGAATTGGCTCTTGGGCTAACATACACAGCAGCCAGAAACACAGCACTATGCTAACTATGTATGTATGCGAGTATGTACAGTACGTACAATAATAAAGGGCCTCAAGATGTTTGCTTCATGGACTCAATGCTTCAGTGTTTCCCTGGTAACATTCAAATGTGGCAGCCCACCACAGCAACATCTTTGCCTCCACAAAAAAAGAAAAAATTAATCATTTAATCAAGTGCCTTGATGATCTTCCCGGGAAGCCTGTAAAACGACAGGTCATGTCACATACACAAGTGCAGTTAAAGCCAATTATGATGGAGCATATTTATAGATGTTTTTTCACCCAATAGATAGAATGCCACTCTGTGAAATGTCTCCTCGACGTGTGTGTGAGCCGCACCCATTTGTTTCAAGTCTATGTATTTTCTCTGATGCAGCGTAATCTCTCCAGACTGTTATTTAAATCACCCAAGTCCCCAGTTATTTTCTGTTGCAAACTTTTTTTTTTTTTACTGCTATCCCTACATGAAAACTGTTGACGTCCAGCACATTTCGGCTGTCTGTCTGCCTGGTGAAGACCATTCGTCCGTCTGCTGTCCTTGCAGCCGATCTGTGGCTGATGACTGACAGCTGCTTTGATGCTGAACGTTCCATAGAGGGAATGCTGATTAGGAATGGGAGACAAAACTCAGAGAGGGACAGATGAGGAGACAGGAGGTTGTGTCCATGCAGATGCCACCCTGCGGGAGGTAATGCTGCCATGCCAAATCTCTTTATACACAGTACACTGTTTCATGCAAAAATGAACTATAAAATGCTTTATAAAGGCCTTACTAAAATATAAGGGGTTCTACCAGTCAGTTTTCATGTATGTTTCATCCCTCACCTATGGTCATAAGGTTTGATTAGTGACCAAAGGAATGAGATTGCAAATACAAGTGGCTGAAATGAATTTTCCCCCAGAGTGGCTAGACTCAGTTTTAGAGATAAAGTGTAGACTCTGGACATCTGCAGGGATCTTAAAGTAGAGCTGCTGCTCCTTTATGTCAAAAGGAGCTAGTGTAGGTGTTTCAGGGACATCCAACTGGTAGGAGACCCTGGGGTCAATTCATAATATGCTGAGATTATGTATCTCATATATTCTAGGAAGGCTTAAGGGTTATGGAGGCATAACTTTTAATTCTAGTGAATTGGAAATGTCAGGAATACCTGGAGGGAATTTCTTAAAATTTGCTTCAAGTTTCCACTTAGACTCAAAAATGAAGTGATTTTGATTTTCATGGTCAAATGTCACTGTGACTTCACCTTCATCACATTTTTGGTGATGGTAT